AGTATGGATCAATGCCCTCTAGAATGTTTTTTTTTCTTGTTAGAAAGAGATTCTCATTTGATTAAGATTATATACCAATGTTGAAAAATCTTCTGGAATGTCTATTTCAAAAAACAGTAAAATATCAACCTCTTATTCCGAACCAAGAAATAGAAATCTGTGATTTTCAAAAAGAATTAATAAGTTGTTCATTCTCTTTTAAAATTGCATGGTTATTTATTTTTGTAAAAGCATATACCCAAATAAATCTATCACAGTTTTTTTTAAATACCAAAAAATATATATATTTGAACACTTTAAGTGGTAGAGTGGAAAAAATACATATGTAACCAATTGTATTATAGTCTAAAATTTATTAAACAAACTATATTGTAATTCAAAGCTTTTTGAATTTCACACACAGTTTTTCTTGCATAAATATTTTTCTTTGTTAGTGTTTCCTAAATTTATATTGAATAGTTAAATATTCAACTTCTAGATTCTAATTATTTAAATTGTCATATTTAAAAGACATTGAGAATCATTACTCATAGTCAAAGCAAAGAGGTTAGTTTACTGCCACTTTGAAACTGTGAAACATTTTAAGTGTTTGCTGTAGAAGTTATAATCAAGTATTTCAAGCATATTTTTCAGACAGCAAAACCCATGATAGAACCAAGTTATCTATCGTATCTTTTAAGGGGGAAAACAACATTGATGAACTCATGGAATCTGGTCAGAAATATCTACACTATAGAGCAACTCTGTATTTTGAATATGGGTGCTTTCCAGTTGGTAATTGACAGCTGGTGAGTTTGTTTAAAAAATAAAAAAATCTGACTATTTGAATATTTATATTTTGCTATAATTTGCATATTCATATCTTTTGCTGTGCTATTTGTTGATTGGCATAACCACAATCCAAAAGGCCTACTTATTAGTTATCTTTTAGTTTGCCATGGCTACTTATGGATAATAAGATGTAAGAGAAAATAGACCAGGTGTAGTTTCTGAAAATATTTTGGTTCCCTGGACAAAGGAGGGCAGACTCATCTGGAATTCATCTTTACCTTTTGCTCTTCTGGAATGAAGAATAGATGCTTAGAGCTGCAATACCATTTTCAGAATATTAGGTAATGGAAATGAATAGGAAATTAAACACACTATAAATGTCAGAGCAGGAAATGGAGGGCAGGCATCCAGATGGTATTGAGCTCTTATAGAAGCCCTTTTCCATCACCTCTAGATTTCTTTTAATTTGAGACAAATAAGTGTGCTTTGCCTAAGCTACTGTTGTTTGGGTTTCTTGTTATCATAGCCATATTCCTAAAGGCTAATGCTGTCATTGATTGTTGAAGGAGTTCAGAGCATGTCACCCCCAATTATTGTACTTTGGCATATTCATTATTTTGAATTGAAGGCACTTGGAAAGCAGTGAATACAGGAAGAACATTGTGATTCTTTTTTTTTTAAGCCATATATGAAATTCTTATGTGAAAGATGCCCTTTCTGTACCAGAATGAAAGCAATATTATTATCATCAAGAGTGAGAAGTTGAGAGCAAGAGAATGCTAAACTAGCAGTCCTTGCTAAAATAATCTTAATCATCCTTTAGTATCCATAAATAGTTTATTCACTTTTCCACAATTGCTTCTCTTTGCTCAAACTAATATAAAAGCAGGTAGCCACCATTTGGGAGGGTCTTCATTTCATCATAGGGGGTTACCATGTCATGTAAAACATATTAAATAAATTTGTATGCATTCTTCTGTTAATCTATTTTTGTCAGTTTAATTTTCAGACCCAGCTAGGAACCTTAAGAAGGCTAAGAAAAAAACTCCTCCTCCAAATGATAATCAAATTATAACTGTGAATTTCATAAAGTTTGCCCAGATTTTTCAATAAAATGCTTTTTTAGCTCATATTGATTGGACTTAGTTTAACTTATAAGTAAATAATGTACAAAAGCTTCTTAAAAGAGGAAGTGAAATATATATTACTTCAAAACAAAAACAGGCATTTGAGAGCTGTCCTAATTACTATTATCATAAACAAATTAGGTAAAATATAACTGGTTAAAAAAGTTAGAATACATAAAACTTTAATCAAAGTCTATTTCAGCTAAAATGTGAAAATATCAGAATAAAGAATAGTAGCAGCCTTGTTAAAGAATGTTTTCCTTCATAAATCTACAAGTAATTTCAAATGTGAATAATTAATATCTAGAAGATATGATTTTATTTGGAATCATAATAACCGAAGAAATTTACATTTTTACAGTAATACATTACATAAAATATTAATTTACATGTGTAGATTTTTCCAACTACTATTGACAAACTAAATTTAGAAAAAAAGGGGAAAATGTAAGAATGCCAGATAAAATTTTCTCAATATTGCCTACAAGAAATTAGTAATGACCAATATAATATTAGCTCTCTTCTTCACTAACCTCTTTTTTGAAGTTGTAGGAGACTGGGTTTCTTATGATAAAATTTTCAAATTATAGCTTCACAATATGTTTCACACATATTACTGGTAAGCATTTTGATTTAAGAAAATATACCCACCTGGGAATTGTGCTTATTAAATATCTTTCTTGAGACCCATAAGTTTTAAGGATAATGCGTTAATTTCACTATAGCTTTGCAAAAGACATGTTTAAATGCTTTGATAAGAAATGTGTTTTAAAACATGAAAAAATGATTATTTCGTAATCACTTTCTTCTTTAGGAGCCCACTACATGTGCCCACATATAAGTCCACCCACAAAATTATATAAATGATAACACTTACTGATGATTCTTTAATTTGAAATACAAATGTTTTTCTCCTCTACTGATACTTTCTCACTATAAACTTTTGGAAAATAAAACAAATCTACTTAAAAAGATCAGAATTTTAAAACTGAATGAGACTATAATGATTATAAGAATAAAAAAATTGAGAACTAGAAATGCTAAATAACCTAGCCAAGGGGAATCAAAATACATAAATAAATAACTGAAAATAATGCGTTAAAAGGAACTAAACTGCTTTTAACCCAGAACTTATTTTTAGTTTTCAATGTGGACAAAACCAAAATTAGTAGATTGAGACTACGCTAGATGTTTTTAATACACTATTTCTTTTTAATCTGTTCTCTTTGTCTAAGAAGTGTTTTTTTAAAGATTTTATTTACTTATTTTAGAGAAGGAAGGGAGGGAGAAAGAGAGAGAGAGAAAAACATCAATGTGTGGTTGCTGGGGGTCATGGCCTGCAACCCAGGCATGTGCCCTGACTGGGAATCAAACCTGTGACACTTTGGTTCGCAGCCCAGGCTCACTCCACTGAGCTACACCAGCCAGGGTAAGAAGTGTTGTTTTTAAGGCCAGACTTAAAAGGTCTCAGTTAATATTAATAACATTAATTTCTGATTTATAATGTGACATATATCAACGCTATGTATTCTAATTTATTTTTTCTACCCTAATGGTTAACCTAAATGCTCCTTGTTAAATTTACTGCACTCTAATTATATCCCATACTGTATGCTGAATAGTTCCACCTCCTTTTTAGAATATTTCCCCTCAGTTATTTCCTTGCCAAATTACCCACTAAACTTTCATCATAAGCCCAGTTCTTCAATTATGTTTTTCTTGAGACTCTCACTGACTTTGTTACATACACTTAACATAGGCACACTGTATCAATCAACCATATTGTGTATATATAAATTAATTTTAGATTTTATTTTTCTTTACTCACCTAATATATAAATATCTTATATTGACCCCACTATTTACTAAAACTTCTGAATATTTTATTTTCTATATTTGGCTGTTCTTCTAATGTATGAAAAATGGCAGATAGCTTATAATTGGCAGATGGCAGTTAACAAATTTAATTAATTATGTCTGTTTCTGAATTTTAATTAAGGTGATGAAACTGTCCAGATGTAAATTTGATATGCTTTTATCATGGAAAACTTTTCCTTATCACTCCTCTTCAAATAAGTGTAAGAAGAACATTATGTCCCCCTAAACAATTTATTATATAGATCCAAGAAGTCATTTTAAGAAAACTAGAGATTTGTCACCATTTGAATTGGGTAATTATTACCTATATACCTATACTAAATTTGAAATTATTTCCAGAGAACAGTCCTAAGTTGGCCCAGAAGTACTTGATATAAGAAAGAAAAAACAACAACCACAGAGTGGAGAAAAATAAATGTCTAATGATATATTCCCCAAAATTGGAATGTTATAATGCTGAACAGTCAGAACACTGGTAATTGTGGCTGGAGTTTTTTTGAAGAATACAGTTAAATTTTTTAAAACAACTAAGAATGACTCAATGATTCATTTATTCTGAAAACTAATTTTTAGGTCCAGGGGAAATAAAATTCATCTTTTCTATGTTTAAGGTCTCCTTTAAACCACTTCAATCATCAAGGATTATTCGGCACACTGAGTGCTGCTGTGGAATCAATAAACTTGTTTTCCTGAGTGCTGCAATATGTTTATCTACAAATTCCTTTATAATACCTCCCGACCCAACAAAAGTGACATTGAAGGAGAAAGGTTCCAACATAGTAAAATTCCCCGAGCACTGTGCTGTTAATGATGAACAGAATCAAATTCTTTCTAGAATAAGTTAGATTTTGTTTCCTGCATAAATTAGATGAGAATGTAAAACACAAGAATTTATTCTGTCAAGGCAAAAGTTGCTTAACACCATAACAGATTGGGTTTAGGTTCATCTATTATTAAAAGAGCCTATTGGTGAAAAGAACACTTCCCCAAGTTATAAGTAGTTGCTCCAGATAAAGAGATTATTTCATAATTTCATGATAGTGATAAATTCTTGTAGAGTGTAAAAACTACAAGATTCTCTCAGACTCTTTTAATTGTTGTTCAAGTTCAGTTGTCTCCAATTTCCCCCAACCACTACCTCCCACCCCAGTCATCCCTACCTCCCACCCCTGACCCTACCCCTCTTTAGTACTTTTAAAGCCCCTTCCTAGGAAGAGTACTCACCCCATCTGGCCTGCCATCCGATGCCGTAACGATTAGAATGTAGCGATCGGTGCTTTCCCTGTCCAGTGCTTTCCCTAAGGTTAGAATCCCAGTACTATTGACAGAAAACAAACAAACAATTAAGACAGGAACAAACTTTATCCCAGGGACTCTTCTTGCTATCCAGAACCACTATTACATTTTTTCCCCTTCAGAAAACACATTTTGAGTATTTAAGATGTATGAATCTAGGATTCATGTTGAAAATTGTAAAAAGGTTTTTAAGGCTGTTGCATTTCTTAGCAATAATGAAAAATTACCAAAGGGAACGAGATAATTGACTTAGTTCTCTATCCTCCAAGAAAAGAGAAAACTATACATAATTCACTCCAGGAAGAAAGATTTCTACCTTGTTGGTGATTATTTCAAAGGTAAAGATGCCATTAGAGCAGTTTCATGATCCTTTGAGTAAAGGAATCATTTCTTGTAAGTAACCTGTGTCATCTTCCAATTCATTTATCAAATGTCCTTTATCAAAATGCAAACATGTAAATTCCATCTTTGACAAATTCTTTTGATTAAAATTTAGTTTTCCTTCCCTTGTAATTTCAAAATAATTCAGGTTTATTGTAGAAATACAGAAAATATACAGTGGATTATTAAAACTTTTATAAATATTATGGTTATCTTTGTAATATTTCTTTTTATTCTCTATTATAACCATATTTAAGTAATTACAATTGTTTAGAAAATGAATTAGACCCCATATTTTTCATTCTTTTTAAATAAATTTTATAAGCATTTACTCTTTCATTTTATAATTTATAAAACATACTCTTTTGTCAATACATCAGTAATTTTAACATTATTCTATCATTTTTTGAAAGTTAGGTGTTTCTTAATTTAACTTATTATGTATAATGGGAGATGAACAGCCTTCAGGAAAATTCTCATACTTTAAATATTTTTAATACTGCTATTTGCTATTGAGCACAAATGTTTCCAACTATTAATGTCTTTATTTTCCAGTGTAACTTGTTTTATACCAGTTTGGTCACTTACAATTCTGTCTGAGACAAATTCTACATTTATGCAGATATTATATAGTATTACACATTAGATATTACAACCTGACACTGTACATAACATTTTAACTAAAGGCACAAAAGCATCTACTATGGAGGAGAGATATATTAATACAACAAAACATTAAAAAGTTCATCAAAAACATAATTTATTTCTTCTGATAAAGGGCTTTATTTTAATGCAATTTCTTTTATTGTTATAGGGGAGTTTAAGCAATTAACACCCCATATGTTAGTTGAGTACTGAAAGTCAACACTAATGAATGAAAGTCAGAGTCTCAGTAACTCTTCAATTGTTGTTGCTGTTGATATAGACTTAATAAATGTTCTGAACATATGGTATGGCTATGAAAAAAAAAACTGACTTTGCTTCTTGTACATTTTTAAATGTTTTGTCGAAATAACTGAAAACCAATTCCTAGGGTAATTCACAACAAGCAGGTGTGGATCAACTTTCCACACCACAGATGGTCCAGATAATCTCATTCCAAAATACCATTCAAAGAGAAGCGTAGACATTTATTGCTTCTGAGACTTATGCACAGGTAACTTAAGATATAGGAAATCTGAAAACCTAATCTTAGCATAATAAAAGAAAGAAGCAAATTGAGTTATTTTTTTTTTCATTTTTCATCTAAGGTTTAAGATCAAGACTCTCTATTCTTTCTTGTAAACTGAATTAGAAAATCAATAGAAATATCAATAGCACTTCCACTTAGAGACATATTATACATAAACAGCTAATTTTTCATGGACTGGTAATTATTATGGAAGTAGTCCTTTGCCTAAGATAACATGTACCTGTGTCCCAATGTAGTAGGTGTGGATGGGGATTTTGGACAGGGAGAAGGAAAGAAAGAATAGCTATTGTCTTTTGGATTCATTGCTGAAAGACTAGTTTACAAGTACACAAAAGCATCCTTTCATGAAATTCCAGAAATGATTGGCAAGGAGGAGTCCTACTATGTGTTGGATTGATGTTATAGAGCAGGATATACTGAGCTATAGGTATGTTAAAAACATGTAAGAATTGCTTCTCATAGAACATCAATAATAGTGCTACTTAAATTTTACAGGATTAAAAGTGTATTGCACAAGAGTGATATCAGTGACAATGGTTAAGTAGGTAGCTCCAAGAGAAAGTCTCTCCACAAAAACATTGACAAATGAAGCAGAAAGTGTCAGAACCAACTTTGATAGACTCTGGAAAATAGTCAAAGGGTGACAGCAACCAAATAAAGGCAGATCAAGAAAAAGCTAACTTAAAATGATGGGAAAGCTTTGTTGGCATTTTTACTAGTCTTTGTCCCCACTCCCTGCCTTAGACTAGCCTTGAAGATGGCAGTCAACATTCTTTATGGAGACATTCTGGTCCCTGTTTCTAAAAGGAGCTGAGCTATCCTTATTCCCAAAGAATTGTGTTTGTCACTTTCAGCTAATTTAAAGCCTGTCTGAAGATACAATGCATGGACTTTTGTTTTGCCTAACTCATAGCTCACTCAAGGCAGAAAAGCAGTGAGTATTTGTGGAAACATTTAAGCAAAGGAGAAACCCAAAGCCACCCAAGGCAGAAGATACAATAGGCACACAATACAGCTCCAAAAGCCTGGAAGAAAAGAAAACTGAGTGGACAGTTCCTTGGGAAATTAGGGCATTCCAAAGTGCTCATGTGTACTGGGGAACAGAATAAAATTGACAATCCAGAGATAAACCTACACATTTGTGATCAATTGACTTGGAAAAAGATGCCAAGATCATTCAATAGGGAAAGAATAGTCCCTTCAACAAATGGTGCTGGGGCAACTGGGAACTGCAAAACTATGAAATTGGACTATCTTACACTATATGTAAAAACTAAGTCAAATGAAACAATAATCTAAATATAAGCACTCAAACCATAAAAAACTTAAACAAAAACATAGGGGAAAATCTTAATGATTCTGCATTTGAAAATTCATGATTAAATATGACATTGAAAGCATGAGCAGCCAAAGAAAAAAATAGATATACTAGATTTCATAAAAATTACAAATTATGTGCACTAAAGGACATTACCAATAAAATGAATAAAACTATAAAATAGGAGATCTATCCAATAAGAGCTTGGTTCTACAAATATATTAGGGATTCTAACAATTCAACAACCAAAAGACAAACAACTCAATTAAAAGGTAGGCAAAGGATTTGAATAGATATTGCTTCAAATACATATACAAATATCAAACAAGCACATGAAAAGATCTTTAACACCTTTAGTCATCAATGAAAACTACAATGAAATATCATTTCATACCTTACTAGGATGGCCATAATTAACAAAACCAAAAACACAACAAAACAAAACAAAACAAATGGGAAGATAACATGTTGACAAAGACATAGAAGAACTGAAACCCTTGCATATTGCTGGTAGGAATGTACAATTGTTCAACCACTGTGAAAAACAGTTTGGCAGTTTCTCAAAAAGTAGATGTAGAATTACAATATTACTTAATAATTCCAATTCTGAGTATATAATCAAAAGAACTGAAAACTGATACTTTAACATGTGCACATGTATGTATGCAGTAGTGTTCACAATAGCCAAAACCTAGAAATGCTGTCCAAATGTCCATCAGTTTATGAATAGATAAATCGTTGTATATGCATACCGTGGAATATCATGCAGCTGTCAAGAGGAATGAAGAACTGACACCCACTTCAACATATCAAAACATGAGGCTTATTTAAAAAGCCAGATACAAAAGGTCACACATGTCATTCCATTTTATATGAAATATACAGAATAAATAAATCCAGAGAGACAGAACACAAATTGTTGGCTGCCAGGGTATGAGGGAAAGGGTAAGTAAAGAATCAATGTTTAATAGGCTTGGGTTTTCTTTTGAAATGATGAATATATTTTATAAGTAGATGAATTGGTAATCATACAACATTGTGATTCTGTTAAATGCCAGTGAACTGTTAACTCTGAAATGGCATTTTATGCTATGCACATTTCGACTGTATTTCATTAGTTGTATCAAACAGAATTTCCTCAGGCTATATTCCTGAAATGTACTGTGTTTTATGAAATCAAGCTCTTTAGACAATGAGTTGGATTGTCTAAGCATAAAAAATAGTGTTCAAAAGTTATTTAGACAGCGTGAATAAAAAGTAGTAGAGAGTATTTTCTTCCAAACAAACCAATATGCTAGCATTAAAAATCTGCTTCTATAAAAAGTAACCATATTCCCAAACTGCATTGTTTATTAGGAAATATTATAGCTGTGGAATTGTGGATGGATTGATTATCTCAGTTTTCATGCTTTCTATTCTATGCTTCCTTTAAAGTTTTTAATATGTTTTTCTAGTTACAATTTAATGTCAATAAAAGTTCTTTAACCTCTTGCAATAAATAACTTAAATATTTGGCCATCATACTTATAATGAAAGTTTCTTTATATCTGGTTTAAATGTGCACTTGTATGTGAATGTCTATTGAATAAATAGTTGCTGAATCATATGCAACTCAACACAGACACTACAAAAATTAAAAAAATAATGCATTACACCTCAGAACCATATAGAACCAGTTATTTAATACATGATATTGAATGATCTTCACAGCAAATGGTTGCCATTTTTAAGGAACAAGGCCTTTTATTCAAAGGGTAAGGTCCTTTTCTGGCTGACTAATGATTCAACACTTTGTAAATCCACACTAGCATTAAAATTATTATTCATTGCTATTAATATTTTTTAAAGAATTACAAACAATTTTTAGTATATTGTTTCAATGGAAAAAGTTAAAAATGATACCATCATGCTGATGATTATTGCTAAACTTTATATCATGGTATAAAATAACAGTATTTAAAGTAAACAATGACATGTATCTTTGTTTTAAGAAAGAAAACGTAACCAATAACACTATTTGTAGGACTCAAAGTGCCTAATAAGGAACATCATTATTTCCTTGCTATCACTTTTCTGAAGCAGTACCTGATTATACAAAACCTTACAATTTTCATAGAAGCGGCGGCACAAATTTGTACAAACACTCCAGAAGTTTCAAAGAGAGAAGGGATTGACATTTCAATTTTTCCCCCATGTGAATGTGTTGAAATATATTGCTAATGGTCCAGACTAGCCTATAAATATCAATAGGAACACAGCAGTGAGGAGGCCAAGGTAAAATGAGTGTAAGATAGAAAGCGATGGGCCTTGTTTCCTGGGCCTGAAACCAGGAATGATCTCAAAGAACCCTTGCAGGCATCACTCAAAGTGATGATCTCTCAAAGAAGCCTTGCAAAATACTCTACCCCAATTATGCCTCTTTGGGAGATTGATTATTTTAAGTAGTTATATTTTAGAAACAAAAGACTCAAGATGAAACTTTGAACTTCTTCCTAACTACTCAAAAGAATTTAGATAGAGGGCCTGTTCCAGGAAGGGAGCTATTATCATAGTTAACTACGGTTTAACATGAACTAGGTATGATGGGCAGGAATGAACTGTAGGAGACTACTCTGCATGGTGTGGGCCCAGCTCCCACTCAGAGATGCACAGGATGCACACCCATGGATAGGTTCTCCTGTGGGGAATCAGGCCTGCAATGAGCCTAGGCCGCTTTGAGTCTTGCTTTTTGCTAAAACTCCCTCACCCTGAATTGAGGACATTTACTGCAAAGCAACTTCCTAAAAACCATGCTAAACCTTCCAAGGGTGAGTGTAACCTGTTTAACCACTTTTGCCTTTTCATTTGCAAATATCTCTCTTCTGTGATGTGATTAGCAGCATTGGCTCCTTTGTTTTCTGTAAAAGGTAACCACCTAAATTGAACCTGTGCATAGTAAATGAGGACCATCATGTAATGTGCCCAGAGATAGAAATAAAGGCCTGTCATGGCGGAGGCTGAGGCTTTTGCACATCTTGAGAGAAAAGCCATGCTGTCCCTTTTCCACCACCAGACTCTGTAGTCCGTGTGAATGTCTCATTTCATCCATAATGACGTGGACACTGAGGGCCGGTGTCTGCATCAATGAACCTAGCAAGGCCAATTTGATCAATGTCTTCTTTGTGTCCTATTATTAAAATGGCTCAGCAGACATTTATTTACCCACTCCATCTCCATATGAATTACCTTCCTACACCTGAAGTGCCAAACAACTATCCCACCCTTTTTTCCTCTGCTCAAGGTAGTATACAAACCTCAACTGCCTGATTTGTTCTTGGGCCCCATATTCTTATGGAATCTCTACATGTACAAACATAATTAAATTTGGTTATATTCTCCCATTAATCTGTCTCATTTCAATTTAATTTTTAGGACAGCCAGAAGAACTAAAAGGGAAAAGGGGAAATTTTCTATTCTCCCACCCTGAAAACAGTTTGCACTTAAGGAAATGGCTGTCTGAATTGACCTGTAGTATTGAGTTGTAGTATTAAGAACTGAGGTCAGTTTAGTCAAAGAGGGTGCTGCATGTACATCTTTCACACCTTAAATAACTTCTGTGACTGCAGCTAGGAGTCTTGGTTTTAAAAGCAGGATGAGAAAAGTAGAAGAGCAATGGTTGCTAGGGTAACAGAACAAGGGGGCATTTCTTTTGTAAATTGGTGGCTCATCAGATTTCACAACTAACAGCTGTAAAATCCTTCAGCATCAAAGGAAACATACAAGAATGTAAATTATCAACAGAGAAAGACCTGGGGTTCCTGTTTACCAGGGCAGGTGAAAAATCTTCACTGTTGTCTTCTCTTTGTCTCTCTCTTTACAGTTTTATTAACATATAATTCACATCAAACTTACCCATTTAAGTGTACAATTCAATACATTTTAGTATATTTTCAGAGTTGTTCAATCAACACCACAATCAATTTTAGAACATGTTCATCACCGCATCCATTATAGTCACTCTCTCCCCTGTCCTCAGCTCAGGAACTCATCTATTTTTGTCTATAAATTTGCCTATTCCGGATATTTCATACAAATGGAATCATGTCATATATGTTCTTGTGAATGACTTCTTTCACTTAGCATAATGTTCTTGACTTTCATCCATGCTATAGCTTGTTTCAGTGCCTCATCACCTTTACTGACAAATAATATCCTATCCTGTGGGTATCTGTTAATCCATTCATCTGTAGACTGTCCCTTTGGTTATTTCCATATTTTACTATTTTAAATATTCAATAATTCTGTTATGAACTTTTTGTGTGTAACCATTTATATGGATGTATATTTTTTTTATTTCTCTTGAGTGGATATGAGTAGAACTGCTAGGTTATATGGTAACTCTATGTTTACCATTTAGAGAAAATAACAAATTGTTTTTTGGAGTGCAAGTTTTACATTCCACCAGAAATATAAGATGATTCTGATATCTCCACATCCTCATCCAGGCTTGTTACTTCCTTTCCTTTTCATTATAGCCATTCTAAATGGGTGTGAAGTGATATCTCATGATTTTAATTTTTATTTCCTAGTGCCTAGTGATTATATTTCCATCAGTTTATTGGTCATTTATACATCTTTTTTTTTAAGATTTTATTTATTTATTTTTTAGAGAGGGAAGGGAGGGAGAAAGAGAGAGAGAGAGAAACATCAATGTGTGGTTGCTGGGGGCCGTGGCCTGCAACCCAGGCATGTGCCCTGACTGGGAATCGAACCTGCGACACTTTGGTTTGCAGCCCGAACTCAATCCACTGAGCTACGCCAGCCAGGGCTTTATATATCTTCTTTGTAGAAATATTTATTTAAATGTGTCTGTTTTTATTTGGACTGATTATGGGTCTTTTTTTAGTTTTAATAGCTTATATATATTTTCCTTAATATATTTCCCTTATATACATTATTTAAAAATATTTTCTCTTGGTTTGTGAGTTGTCTTTGCCTTTCTTGATGGTATACTTTGAAGCACATTTGTTTTCCAAATTTCACTAAAATCCAATTTATCAGTCTTCTCAGTAATCACTTGTGCTTTTTTGTGGCATATCTAAGAGAGTATTGCTTAATCAAAATCATAAAGATTTACTTCCATATTTTCTTGTAAGAGTTATATCCACTTTGAGATAATTTTTGTGAATATTCTGAGGTATGGATTTAACTTCATTATTTTGCATGCTTGTCAGCTTCATTTGTTGAAAGCATTATTCTTTCCTGTCTGGATTGTCTTGGTCCTTTGTTTTTGGAAATCAATTGGCCATAAATGTTAACAGTTATTTCTGGACCCTTAAGTTTATCCCAGTAATCTAAACATCTATTCTTATACCAGTACTGCACAGGCTTGATTACTGTTAAAGTGACCTTTTAACTTTATTTTCTTTTTTTAATGATGATTATAAATTATAGCTAGTTTATGATTTGTATATACTTATGGGGGGATTCAGAACAGCTAAGTTTTTCCAATTTTTAAATGGAGATTTATTCATCAATGAAGTCTAAAGTTTGAGACATCTGGTTTTCAGACATACTAATTCATGGTTGTAACATATTATTTAATGTGAAATTGCATCTGTTCCTCACAAGACTAAGTGACCACCCATGATTCCCTTGATTTGAGATCATGTACCACATGTATTTCTGAGACTGAAGCAATGTCCAGCTCATTTGTAAAATCTTTCTTTTTTGTAATCATGGGCTAAGTTTAAGTTTCCATTCCTTCAGGGAGCAAAACCATTCATGGCCACACAGAAAACATCAGACAGGTAGCAAATACAGCTTTAGATGGATCAGCCACATGTGACAGCAAAGCAGCAACTTTACTATCACAGAAAGAAGCAAATGATCTCTCTGCAAACCTCAGTTCTTTCTTAATGTCTGCTCCCAGCTTCCTTTGTAGTTATGATAAACATTATCTTTGCTATCTTCAGAGAGGTAAGTAGAATAATGCTTATATAGACCACAAAGGAACTTAGCATGTACATGCAATATTTTTCTGTTAAATTTTTTTAGAATATACCTACATTATTAAAAAATTGAATGATGTACTTTGGTGGTACTTTAAATGTATTTGAATTATACTTTGTCTTACAAAATTCCCTTGAAATGAACAATCTAATACCAAGCTACTGTTTATAAAAGTGTCCTTGCTAGTATGAGTAGCCAACAAATTTAAAGGGATCTAGTTAATACCAGGTTACACCTGCAAAATGAAATGTTTCCACCTCAGTGGATTTTACCTAGTAAAAATGTTTAAAATAAATAAACTCTGGTAAAATTTCTGGATTCAGAATTATACACTCCCCCGAGCTTCTCATTAACATTTATAGAAAAAATGTATAAATTAAACTGCAAACAGCTGAAAGTCTCTGATTAGAACTCTGTTCTGTTACTATTAGTACATTAACATTTAAAAAAGAAAAACAAATGAATCCAGAAATTATTTTTAACTTACGTTTCTGAAAGATTGAACATTCGTTGAGGATCTCCATTCTCAATGGCATATGTTATTGGGTCTCCTTCTCGATCAGTTGCCTTTAGAGAGAAAACATAATTCAATTAACAAGTAATTGATATGGCTTCTATTCAGTACAGTGTAATGTAGAACCTTGAAACTAACAGCATAGAATATCCATGATACTCCTATAGTATAAAGATTAAAAATTGAGCTAATGGCAAGATGTAAAATAAAGAATTTCATATCTGATCCCAGAATTTCTGTCATTTTATCTTATCTGAAAATAAGTAAAAGAAGACATTGAATGAGAATGTCTTCTGAATGTTTACCTAATGTTACCTGGTAATGATTTTCCTAAGGTTTATGTATTTAATTGCATTAGTCTATCTCTACAATTTAAACGAATGTGTTAAACTCTACATAACTGCTTACAGTGTAGAAAAATCATTTAATCCATTTTTTCTTTTTCTGCTCAGAATATATCAGGTCAGAAATGCATAATAGAGCTAGAAAGCTTGAATTTAAAACTAGGCTTCACTTACTAATTGTGTGATTATTTCCCAATTTCTTCATTGATAAGATGGAATCTATACTAATACAAAAGTTAATAGATATTAGGAGGTTTAATTTAAATTAGCTATGTCAAGGCACACAGACTGACATTGGCCACGCTGTAAGTTTCCAATAAATATCATTCTTCCCCTTTTCTTTTACTCGAGTTAGAGAAGACAAAATCAATAGTTTTTGATTTTTAGTTCTGGGTTCCTCTTACCCAAAATGAAGACACACACTCTAATTTGTGGCACTGGACAATGGAATATGATCTTCTAAAGCATTCATTAATTTCCTTTTCCAATGAACCCTTCCTTAAATTCCATTATGGAAGGTATGAGTGAAGACAGAAACCTAGATGATATAAAAGGGATGTGAGAGGGATCTACATAAGTACGACCTGGGGAGAAAGGAAATATCTGAGAAATAGCTAGAGGAATTTTATTTACAGGTTACTGGCCCAACAGAGACATTAACATTCCTGATTAATAGGTGCTGCCCTTAAGCTGGTGTAGGGCTAGTAGTGCTGGTTTCTTTCAATGACTGGACAATTGAAAGCCTGAATGTAAACTCCCATGTCCAGACCAGCAGGGAGGCTCTGTTTCCACTGGTGGATTGATGGCTTTGGCATGCATTACATAGCCCTGTTCATAAAACAGTTGTATCAGCTACCACAACTAGTGGATGGCTAGATGCCTCTATTGGAATACTTAAACCCCAGAGTCCAGGGACAACTGAATAATGACAGATAATATTTATAAGGTGTCAGGTTCTGTGGGAGAAGCTTTGCAGGGTTATTTAATCTGTGCCTCACAAATGTGCCTTCTCCATGAACATGTCCTTCACATGGAGTCTATAACATCATATTCACCTGCTTTTAATAAATATTACTATTTATATGCTTCAGGATCTCATATCTCTAAAATAGCCCTTTCTTCTGAATTTTAGACATTTTCAGTTACTTACTCCCATTGCCAATTAGATAAATTATATGCATCCCTAATTAAACAATGTTAAAATTCCTAAATCCTGATCTTTCTCCCACTCTTCCCCTCACCCAAAAAACACCCAGCTGATTTCAATCTTCATTATCTCAGTCAACAGCAGTCACTGCATCCTCCTGCTCGCTCAGTCCATGTGTCTTGACCTTATTATTCTTACTCTCCAGTGTAATGTCTCAGTGAATCTCATTGGATCTATTTTTAAAAGATCTTCAGTATCTGGTTGTATATGAATTCCTTCCCTACCATCATCTTCCTCATGGATTAGAGCAATAGCTTTCTTCCTAATGGCCCTGCTTTCTCTCTTATACCCTCACTGTAGTTAATTTCTAATTAAACTGACAAAATGACAAAAATCATCTTCCAAGTTGAGATTCTCTTTCTTTTGGTTAAGGTTGTATTGCCTTATTACACACATTCAGTGTGGAATAAAATAAAACAGTAAAATACAATGAAATAACAAACTCCCTACAGTAGCCTCTTCAAGATATACCATTTAAATCAGAATCTAAAAATTATACTTTATTAAATTGATTGCAATGAAAATCTTAGAGAGTAAGAAACAAAAGAATGTTTTAAAAGCATACAAAATGAAGTTGGCAGTGGATGCCTGATATTTTCCTTGCCTTTTTTTGTTGTTATTTCTCAGAACAGTGTTAGCAAAAAAGATGAAATGAAATTGCAAATAATAATTGTTAACTTTTTCAGGAAACACAGGATTATACTCTATTTGGAGAGTATTTTATCATTAAAAAGCTAACATTAAACTATTTCTACTGTTTTTCTCTTTCAGTCATTTTCACCTGTAATATTGTTATAGATACTGTCATTTTCTTTTGTATGTTCATTGGTATGTAGGATTTTTTGAGAGGTGATCGATTATTTTGTGTTTTCATAAATGCCAGAAGAAATAAATTTTGAAAAAAATAGCTTTACAATAATATTTTAAGTCCAAATTAAGGTTGACCCTTTCTTGTAATGTATCAGATCTACTCTAATATTTAATATTATTTTTATGGGATGAGATCACTCTGAATGTGGTGTCATTTTATTTATATGTCATTATTTTATGTCACTAAAATAATAATAGAGATAAATTATTAGATGACTATCAATTTTTTTTCAGCCAAATTAATTACTTTCAATCTCTGAGATACTTTAAAATATTTCTTTAGTTTTTTTGACTGTTGAAATATCTTAGTGTTTTAAGAATTGTGAGAGCTAATAATTTTCCTACTTCATTTGTATGTGAGGTTATGTCCATACTGGAAACTTTAAGACCCATGATTTAGGATGAAATCCTTATTTCATTGTTTCCTTCCTGTTATCCTCTTAGTCAATTTTTTGTTATGTCAGGATCTGTGGCAAATGTAGTAATTAGGGAGGATTCATAATTTCTCAGTCATCTAAACCATGTGGAATGGTACTATCTGGAACAAAGTTCTTAAATCTGTCCATTAGAAGTGTCAGCTCTGGTATAAATGCCATATATCTCTATTTGCTAATATCTAAAGGAAGAAATAACACATAAAAGAATTAGAGAAGTCAGCAGAAGTGATGGTTCTTGAAGTATTCATATTTGATCATGTGCATCTATGTGCCCTAAAATATATTGGTGAAATCATTAGAATAATTTTTTCTCTAATAATGATTCTAGCCAGGCTTCTCTAAATCATGGGCACAATCATGTAATATTGAATAGCAAATCAAGTTAAGATTAGAAGCTATACTCCATGTTTTTTTCTTATTTAAGCCTCATCATGACCTGATAGGTGCATGGAAAATACAAAATATTTCCATTATATTACCTTTTACTGACACCATTCCAGTTAGAGTTCTTTATAATTTATTTAATTGGAAGATATACCTTTTATTTAGATAATAGTAACTGATACATCTTTTAAAAGCCAGGTATAATGGAATTTTTTGTGTGTCTTATTTTTGTATTTTTCAAAATAACAAATTACGTCCAGAAAGTATCAAGCCATGTACTATGAACAATAGAGACATTTACTGAAGAAGATACAACATGCAATAAACATTATACATAGAACAGTGATGCCTCCATGTCCTGTAACCTTGGGACCTCAATCAGTTCTCCCAGGCTCCATCACTAGCTCTATATAATTTTCCTGAATCTCATTGATGGTCTGAAATCTCTACCCTTTCAAAAGTGATTTTTAGTTTTGGGAAAAGCCAGAAGGCACAGGGTACCATATCTGTACTGTAGGGGGCTGAGTCACATGGGTGGCTTGATGTTTTGCCAAAAATCTCTGTATGAGATTTGATGCATGAGAGGGTGCATTGTCGTGATGAAGCTGCCAATCACCAGTTACCAGTAGCTGAGGCCTTCTGAATCATCTGAATAGTTTCTGTGAGGAATGTTAAGCTTAAAGCTAAATTTGATGCATATTTTTTGCTCTACTCACTCAGTCATTTGAATGTGATGGCCACACATGCTCATTCAATGGCGTCTGCTGTGTCCACTTAGTATGGTAAAGTCGTCATTGTTCGTTCACACACGTGCATTCATTCCAGTCCTCTCTCCTTGGCTGCCGCCTACATGCTGATATTGCACAAACCATTCTGGCTGTATTAGGAATAGCTGAGCTTTTTCCAGACAGACCTCATATAGCATAATTACTCATCTTTTGTACAAAAACATTTTCTACATTTTTATATATAGAAATATAAACATAAAATATTATAAGTCAGGCCATATCTGAGCCCTTTGTTAAAGGTCTGAGATAAGTCATAGTAGCATGTGTGTTCCCTGGGCTTCACATAAAGTTTATCAGTGGGCCCTAGAGCCAGCCACCTGGGTTCCAGCCCTGCTGTACCATCTCCTCTCAGGCAAGATACCCAACTACAAAGTGAAGATATTAACACCTATAGTCCTCACTCATTAATTCAATTCAGTTTGTATTGAACATCTTGGCTGTATTAAACACTGGGGCTTCAAAGAAAACAACAACAACAAAAAAATCTTCCTTTGTCCAGGTTATATTGTAGCAGAGATAAGCAGAGAAAAACAAAATAATTTATTAAAATTTATAGGTTTCCAATCCAAATAAGTACTACTAAAATGTAAAATAATTCAGGAAGGACAGATAGGGAGGGCAGGGTGAGGGTTTTCACTTATGTATAGGTTACCAGGAAAACTATCAAGAAAATGCAAAAATATGGTAAACACTTATAAAGGGTGAGGGAGCAAGTCAAGTGGGGAAGGGCATTCCTGGCAGAGAACGTGGCCAGTGAAAAGGCCATGAGGTGGACACATGCCTAGTGAGTTGAGGAATAGTAGCAATCAGTTCTTGTTTTTTCATTTGGCCTCAGATAAACAAGCTAAGGTTAAATATATAAGTCAGGTTACATAACTGAATGAAGCTCATTTGGAATAGCTAGCAGTAATAGGATTTAGTCGTGGGTTTGCTGACACATGTTTAACAACATGATAAATTAAGATAAAGCTAGTTGTTTTGTTTTTCTTTTAATTTTTGCTTGAAGGACAAAAATATCTAAAG